CTAGGGTAAACACGGTAACATCTTCAACTTACGTTGGTATTCACGAGAATCTTACGGAAGAGAAATTTACAGTAAAGTTAAAAAGTACGTCTAACTATTTGCGAATTACTACCTACATATGAAAATACTATCATCGAAGATGGCATGGTGTATTTATAAATTTAAGGTTAAGTCTTTTTCAGATATGTTATATTCCTTTCATGATATATATATAAAATCCTTCAACTTTAATTGTGAGTTGCAACATTTGCTTGAAAGGGACTTTGCTAGCTTTATTTGTTTTAAATTATTTGAACGTGATTGTGGTAGCCAATGACTACTTGCAATGTTCATTATTCAGTTGTCACTATTAAAAGGGACGAAATTAGTAAGTGACAGAGAGGCCGCATTCTTTAATAATTTTTAAATCATTCTAGCCTTGCTTTTTGGCCTTTCTTCCTTTTCTTAAGTGTCTTCAAACCAACAACTTGATCATTGTCATTGTCCATATTCATGATAATTCGAGCACATCTATTTCTGTGCAGATCGTGTTTCATTGAGCACATCCTTCAATTCACAACAGTAATCAAAGTAAGGGCGTACACTATAGCATTCGGATGGTAGTTCATTAACAAGACTCGTTAATCTCCTTAAGTGGCACAGTTAGCGCGATAACTGAGGTTGGTATTCATTCATCCGTGGTAAAATTGAAAAAATACTTGATTTCAAAGAAATTTTTCAATACAACATGTTTTGCATATATGAATCATTGTGCTACCGATTGCTTAAATAAATGCATACACCACACAGGTGTATTAGATTATGATCGGCCAGATTATTTGATCTTTGCTCTCTATTCGTGGAAATGAAAAAATCTTGCCCATTTAATTTACTTGCATGCATTTGTGACAGTGCCAATCCAGTCTGCGAAACAGATCAGCTTATACAGAAATGAAGATGTTAAGGAAAGATGTGTTAAAAGTGAGTGAGATGACTGTTTCTCAGAAGATAAATGCTAGACCCAGTCTTTATAAATACATAAATCTGACGCGGATACATATAATCTATTCACATGTGATAATGTAAGCAAATAACTTCACCGACATATTTGCTTACGTAAATCAAAATACCAATATTTATTTCTTGTCGTATGTAAAATATTCAACACAGATAAATTCTAATTTACTTCTTAATGATAAATATATGTAAAAATGTTATTGCATCATTGTAGGATTTATCATATCGAAGTTATTATAGAAAAGTGATAAGTATATATATGTTCAAAAGAATTCATGACTCGTGTGTAAATTAATTCATTCGACAAAATATCGCCAAATACGATTTACATATTCCACAATTATGAATAAATTTATAATATTGGCATGGAAACCAAAACAAACAGGTTTGAAAAGAGTTAGTTTTTCTACACAAAATGATTTGAATACGTACGATGACGTTCTAGCGCGCTAAACCATTGAACAGTAAGTAAAGAGTCAACATTGTACAGAATGGTATTGGAGATGCTTGGTGGCTGACAACCATTGAACTATAATATAAACTGGAATACTAACTCTAATAGTAGTGCTATAAATCATCTGAAGTACACTAAGACGCATTCATATCAGAATATTTTCGTTATTTACCCGAGCTCCTGAGGTAAAACGTATCATGGCAGTTTGTGCAACTGTGTTTTATATAGATCTTTTTTCATTCTTTAAAATTATTTCATGGAAATTGTATCTAGAAACTCAGGTATTTATGTACAATCAGGTATTTATCGTCAGGTATTTATACTTACATTTTATGCATATTTGTTATAACTAAATGCAAAGAAAGACTGTTATTTTATATCATAATGATTTCATACAGCTTACACTGATGAAAATGTTGGTTTTGTTGTGGCTGCTCTAGTGTAAGAATTTATTTCTAACTTTTATCTTAGATACTTTCTCCTTATTTTGTCACTTCTGCTCAGAAAGCAATTTAGTGAAGAAAAGTTTCCAAAAAAATACATGTGTATTGTAGACAATAGAATAAAGCCAGTGCCGAGTCATAACGTTGCTTAACTGTTAAAAAGTAACGTTTGATTCTTGACTACCAATGTTTTCAATTGCTATGCAAAGGCAGCAATCATGAATGTTCTTCATAAAATCGTTGTAGTTAAGACTGCAACTGCTTTTTCTCAATATGCCTATATAAGGCTACAAATAGAGATACACCAGTTCACTATAATATTCATTCTATTTTTAAAACTATTTTTAAATTTGTCACAACGGTCCACGACAAAATCCTTAATTTGCATATTGACAAACTCTCAAGTACTTTACTGTAATTTCATACATGATCATACAGTGCTCATCTCCAAAATCTTGATGTTAAATGCCTCCATTTTGTTTAATACACAACTTCGTCGCGTCGCATGTTTCAACTAAACTATTTCACTGATTAATCATGAAGAAAGCGATTCTCCGCGATGTTATTTAAAAAGGCTGGAAAAAAAAGGCTGGCAAAAGGGAAAACCTTTTAACTATAAACATCCCCACAAGAACAATCAACTTCTTTTCGCCAAATTTTGCGGAACAACAAGAAACATATGTCATTTAAATCCAATAAGAGATTATTTTGTCAGGTTTTGTGAAAAATACATGAACAATTTACGACTTATTGACATAGCTATACACACATGCTTAAGCTATCCAAGCTAGACCACATACGATATGATAAATTATACAAGTCAGTAATGTATACTGTATGTAAAAAAACTAGCAAGTCTTTGAAATCACATAAGCTGCATGATAATTTTGAAATTTGCAAAGTGTAATGTTTACCATTGCAATTTACACATTCTAAACATCTTCCGATTGCAAAGAGTAGCTGTTTTTATACACACTATATAATTGTACTTTAAATCAAGTTCAACATCTTTCTTTTTTCATTATTCTGTAAATGAAATGTTAATGTAGATAGTAGTAATAAGAAATCAACATATATTCCTGGATTGCAACCATACTATTGGCGTAGAGTTTTTTTTTATCTTGGGGGTTGGAAGTTTCAGAGGCAAACTCTCTTACTGTGCTCACTTAATTACTCTTGCAGCTTCGTAAATTGTCGGAAAACTACGAATTTACTCAGAAAATTACCAGAAAACAACGGATTATCTTTGAAAATCGTTATTGTTTTGAAAGAAGTGCTGAGCTATGAAAATTGTCATGTCATTGAATTACGATTGATTTCTACTTTCTTTATTATGAAAATACGAAAGTCATAGAATTTTGAAAAAATCACAAAAAGCTCACGAATTTTTGATGTTCATGAGATGTTCATGAAAAGAGCAAAATGTTCACAAATCTATAAACTTTGTTCATAATCTGACAACATGCTGTAACTTGTTTTCAAAGCATTAATACTGCGTCCAGTTTGGTTTAAATTCTACATGTTATGCTAACGTGAGATCAGAAAACAGGATAGAAACCTGAAAGCAGCCCTCTTGCAAAAATTTCAACGGAAAATAAAATCGATGAAAATTCTACATGTTATGCTTACGTGTCGTCAGAAAACAGGATTCAGCTTTTAAAATATTCCATTTTCAGCAGCAACAATTTCGAAGAGGTCGCGGCTTTCTTTATACCAGCTTTTGAAATACGCCGACGTTAAAAATAACCAAGAATTAAAGTCCTTTTAATTGTATGACATTTTTTGTGGGATGTATTGTTGGTTTATATATCCATTATTTTGCCTTTATCTGGCTTTGTAGATTCTTGCTATTTGTTGCTTTGCGATAAATGTCTCCCTATTGGTAAATGCTATATTTTGAAAAAGGCTCTTACAACTTACATGACTTGCAATGTTCATAATTTAGAATTTACGTGTCGACTTCACAGGATTCGAATATTCCACGTATCAGCCGCACTTAATATAATTGCACCACAGCAGGAGAGTATAAGCCTTGGCTCTAATTATAAAATTAAAGCAATTTTATGGTTGAATTTGCAGTTTTTGATTGCTGAATTTGAAATATTTTGCATTTTTATTGTACTCCTAGCGCTCAAAATTTTTGCACGTTTCAGCTGTAATTGATTTTCATGAAGGAAAATATAATTGAAATATATATCAATCATCGACTCATTACCATGAGACGAACCTTTGCATCTTCAATTAGTAACAAATACTTTTGTGATATATTTCTATCTTATCCTAAGTACAAATATAATTGCCCAACATAAAACTTTTACATGTTTGTAAATGTAGATCGTCCAGGTTGGTATAGTCCTGAAAAGGACTATTTTTGTTGTTGTTGACTGACGTTTCGACAACCTTAGCGGTACTCATCTTTAGAGTCATAGAGTTTGACTAACGTCAGGTTAGCCGTATTTGTTATCTGGTTCTTACGTAATTGTATTGTGTGTACAGGAAATGTGTATTATCATTGTGAATTAGTGTGAAGTGAAATGTTTTTAGTTGTGAAGTGTGATTTAGGTGTGATATTTTTAGCTGTAATGTGTGGGTGTCAAGTGTGTATTGTCAGTGTGAATTAGTGTGAAGTGTAATAACATATGCCGCATAAAAGGGTTTATGTTGGGTAATTTATTTATAGTTAGAATTCGCTTTTTGCCTGGCAAATCCATGGTCAGTTTTGTCACAATAATATTTTTATCTTACAAGTATGATTGCGACATTGCACCCATTTCAGCTTTATCATCATTCATGACTCGAGAGAGCTATAGATTCATAATTGCTCAGTGGGACGTTTGAGATATTTACCCGACGACGTCAGAGTATGAACACTTAGAGTTTTAATCATTACTTAAAATATTTAGTTAAAATATTTGCTTTAGTTATGAATGAAAAATCAAGAAATTGCAACTCCTTGAAATTATAGATGCGGATTTGGAATCAATTGTTGAGCGTATTCTTTCCGTTTTGCGCGATAATCGCTATGGGAACATATCGTAATTTGTTATAATTAGATTGTTTAAAACGATCTATCAAGTAAAACAGTCTTTCAATTTATTACAAAAAACAGCTAGAAATCTGCATAATACGGACAGTTATAAAGCACAAGACTCGAGATGCTGGCATCAGAAAGTGTAAATGTTTCTTACAAGAAGGTTAAGAAGAAGAAAATAAAATGAAGTTGGTTATTTTGTGTGCACTTTTGGCCGTAATGGTTGTCTTGCCACAATCAGGTATATATTTTGCAGTCATGCTACATTTTTGTTATTACTTAGTGTTTTAAAAGAAAGTAAACTAACAATCCTTCTCATTTGTATATCATATTGATTTTGTCAAGCCTACAGTGATGAAAGTGAAGCGATTCGTATCTCCGACCCTGAATTCCATCCAGATCAGAAGAGTGGGGAAAACGATGCAAGAAAACAAGCAACACGTGATTTGAGTTTAAATTCTAGAACTCCTTGTCATTTTCGTTTTCGTTGTAAACCTCGTAGGAAAACGTAGGTATCGTTGGAGACGCTGGGGTTAGCTGGATGCTTATTCCTTCTTCAAGAAGTGACAATAACAATGTAGCTATGTATGTCGTTGTCAATTCTTTTTACTGTAATAGCGTAAGTCTGTAGAAAATAAAACAAATTCTGTTTTCGTCACTGAAATTTTTTTCCACTGATACAAATTTAGTCAAATCATGTGTTAAGCAACTTTGTTACCAGAGTCTTGTTGACAGGGGGGGCTTATAGTTTCCTAGGATTGTTTTTCCCAGGGTTGTATTTCCTAGGGTTGTTTTTCTCAGGGTTGTTTCTCCTAGGGTAAACACGGTAACATCTTCAACTTACGTTGGTATTCACGAGAATCTTACGGAAGAGAAATTTACAGTAAAGTTAAAAAGTACGTCTAACTATTAGCGAATTACTACCTACATATGAAAATACTATCATCGAAGATGGCATGGTGTATTTATAAATTTAAGGTTAAGTCTTTTTTAGATATGTAATATTCCTTTCATGATATATATATAAGATCCTTCAACTTTAATTGTGAGTTGCAACATTTGCTTGAAAGGGACTTTGCTAGCTTTATTTGTTTTAAATTATTTGAACGTGATTGTGGTAGCCAATGACTACTTGCAATGCTCATTATTCAGTTGTCACTATTAAAAGAAAAGAAGTTAGTAAGTGACAGAGAGGCATCATTCCTTAATAATTTTTAAATCATTCTAGCCTTGCTTTTTGGCCTTTCTTCCTTTTCTTAAGTGTCTTCAAACCAACAACTTGATCAGTGTCACTGTTCATAGTCATGATAATTCGAGCACATCAGTTTTGTGCAGATCGTGTTTCACTGAACTTACCCTTCAATTAACAAAAATAATCAAAGTAAGAGCGTACACTATAGCATTCGGATGGAAGTCTACTATTAAGACTCGTTGGCATTGCTGCCCGATAGCTGGGAAAGGATATTCATTCATCCGGGGTAAAATTTAAAAAATTTGATTTCAAAAGGAATTTTTAATATAACATGTTTTGCATGTATGAACATCGTGCTAGAGACGATATAAATAAATATATATAGAACTCAAGTTTACCTATTCGTGCAAATCAAAATATCCTGGCAAATTAAATTACTTGCACGCATTTGTGACAGCGCTAATCAAGTCTACAAAACAAATCAGGTTTGCAGATTTAAAGATGTTGACAAAAGATTTGTTGAAAGTGAGTGAGAATAGATGACTGTTCCTCAGAAGATAAATGCTAGACCCAGTGTATAAATACATAAATCTGACGCGGATACATATAATCTATTCACATGTGATGATGTAAGCGAATAACTTCACGGCATATTTGCATAGGTAAACTAAAATACCAATATTTATTTATTGTCATATGTAAAATATTCAACACAGATAATTCTAATTTATTTCTCAATAAATAATATATGTAAAAATGTTATTGCATCATTGTAGGATTTATCATATCGAAATTATTATAGAAAAGTGACAAGCATATATAAGTTCAAAAGAATTCAAGACTTGTGTATAACTAAATTCATTCGACAAAATGTCGCCAAATACGATTCACAAATTCCACAATCATGAATAGATTTATAATATTGGCATGCAAACCAAAACAAACAGGTTTGAAAGAAGTTAGTTTTTCTACACAAAATAGTTTAAAACGTACGATGACGTTTTAGCGCACTAAACTATTGAAAAGCATGTTATTGGAGATGCTTGGTGGCTGACAACCATTGAAATATAATATAAACTGGAGCACTAACTCCAATAGCAGTGCTATAAATCATCTGATGCACACTAAGACGCATTCATATCAGAATATTTTCGTTATTTACCCGAGCTCGTGAGGTAAAACGTATCATGGCAGTTTGTGCAACTGTATTTTATGAAGATCTTTGTTTATTCTTTAAAATTATTTCATGGAAATTATATCTAAAAACTCAAGAAAACTTAAATTTCGGCTTCAAGGATTGCAACAACAAAGAGAGCACTCCAGATTCAAAAGACAGTTCAATGGTGTCAACCTCGTACCCATTGTCCTTTCTCCTGGACACGAGGTTCGTTTCCTACATCAGCCGTTAAATCGACATCTATTATAATTTTGAACATCCCTTGGGCAGCAATGTCGAGCTTTGGTAAAGCCGAATCATAATATATAAATACATTATCATTTCTAATAATTATCGACAAGTCGTGAGCGAGATTTGAGTCATTTGACCTAGTTAATGTACACGACACGACTAGGGTCTGGGCCTCATCAACCTCCGTCGTAAGAGGAGAAGTCTGCGGCCTCTTTAATCTCCATTGTAAGAGGAGAGGTCTGGGGCCTCGTCAATCTCCATTGTAAGAGTGAGGGTCTGGGGCCATGTTTTCAAGGGATCGAATAAGTCTAGCGATATGATCTGTATTTGTGATATTTGCATGACGAAGATGGTCGTGTGAAAGATAGGGTACAATACTCATATCATCGTATCCTTCTTCCAGAAAATTTTCTATGTACATTGGCAGTCCAAGTGACGTCAACCAGTCCACCACTGAACTAAGTTTTCCCACAACATCTGCAGCGAAGCGAAGACTGGAAATATCACATGGAACCTTACAGAAAAAATAAAAAACCGTTTCATTTGGCATGTCTACCTCTAGTGCGACGATTATTCTACTTTCTGGGCTACGACAAATACAAAAAACCTTCAATGCGGACAAAAATTTACATGTCTCGATTATAAATAAAATGCAAAGGCTAAATTGTACTCAGTCAGATTTTCACGTCTTATCTTAAGCACGAACAAAGACATAACAAGCATATGATCATCTAAATACATAATAATTGAAGTTTTCATCCTTCACACCGCCTTAATGGCTAACATCAAAACAAACCACATCAAACAAGGACTAAATAGATAATAATTGAAGTTTTCATCTTTTACACCGCCTTAATGGCTAACATCAAAACAAACCACATCAAACAAGGACTAAATAGATAATAATTGAAGTTTTCATCTTTTACACCGCCTTAATGGCTAACATCAAAACAAACCACATCAAACAAGGACTAAATAGATAATAATTGAAGTTTTCATCTTTTACACCGCCTTAATGGCTAACACCAAAACAAACCATATCAAACAAGGACTAAATAGATAATAATTGAAGTTTTCATCTTTTACACCGCCTTAATGGCTAACACCAAAACAAACCACATCAAACAAGGACTAAATAGATAATAATTGAAGTTTTCATCTTTTACACCGCCTTAATGGCTAACATCAAAACAAACCACATCAAACAAGGACTAAATAGATAATAATTGAAGTTTTCATCTTTTACACCGCCTTAATGGCTAACACCAAAACAAACCACATCAAACAAGGACTAAATAGATAATAATTGAAGTTTTCATCTTTTACACCGCCTTAATGGCTAACACCAAAACAAACCATATCAAACAAGGACTAAATAGATAATAATTGAAGTTTTCATCTTTTACACCGCCTTAATAGCTAACACCAAAACAAACCATATCAAACAAGGACTAAATAGATAATAATTGAAGTTTTCATCTTTTACACCGCCTTAATGGCTAACATCAAAACAAACCACATCAAACAAGGACTAAATAGATAATAATTGAAGTTTTCATCTTTTACGCCGCCTTAATGGTTAACACCAAAACAAACCACATCAAACAAGGACTAAATAGATAATAATTGAAGTTTTCATCTTTTACACCGCCTTAATGGCTAACACCAAAACAAACCATATCAAACAAGGACTAAATAGATAATAATTGAAGTTTTCATCTTTTACACCGCCTTAATGGTTAACATCAAAACAAACCACATCAAACAAGGACTAAATAGATAATAATTGAAGTTTTCATCTTTACACCGCCTTAATGATTAACACCAAAACAAACCACATCAAACAAGGACTAAATAGATAATAATTGAAGTTTTCATCTTTTACACCGCCTTAATGGCTAACATCAAAACAAACCACATCAAACAAGGACTAAATAGATAATAATTGAAGTTTTCATCTTTTACACCGCCTTAATGGCTAACATCAAAACAAACCACATCAAACAAGGACTAAATAGATAATAATTGAAGTTTTCATCTTTTACACCGCCTTAATGGCTAACACCAAAACAAACCACATCAAACAAGGACTAAATAGATAATAATTGAAGTTTTCATCTTTTACACCACCTTAATGGCTAACATCAAAACAAACCACATCAAACAAGGACTAAATAGATAATAATTGAAGTTTTCATCTTTTACACCGCCTTAATGGCTAACATCAAAACAAACCACATCAAACAAGGACTAAATAGATAATAATTGAAGTTTTCATCTTTTACACCGCCTTAATGGCTAACACCAAAACAAACCACATCAAACAAGGACTAAATAGATAATAATTGAAGTTTTCATCTTTTACACCGCCTTAATGGCTAACACCAAAACAAACTTAAATGAGATATGATCTTCGCACTTAGCTGGACAATTTAAGCAATCGTCTCAGGACCTGAAAAAATCAGGTGACTCAACGGGATTCGAACCCATGACCTCTGCGGTGCCGGTGCAGTGCTCTGACCACTGAGCTATGAAGTCACACAGTGGTGAGCAGGTCAATATTGTTGGGCTCATGTTTTCTCGTGAAATGAATGTCATATGAATGTTTTTATGCAGTGCGGTGTTTGAAATTAAATGAGATATGATCTTCGCACTTAGCTGGACAATTTAAGCAATCGTCTCAGGACCTGAAAAAATCAGGTGACTCAACGGGATTCGAACCCATGACCTCTGCGGTGCCGGTGCAGTGCTCTGACCACTGAGCTATGAAGTCACACAGTGGTGAGCAGGTCAATATTGTTGGGCACATTCATATGACATTCATTTCACGAGAAAACATGAGCCCAACAATATTGACCTGCTCACCACTGTGTGACTTCATAGCTCAGTGTCCAAGCACCGCAGTGGGTTCAATCCCGTCACCTGATTTCGGTCCTTTGTGTCCAGCTAAATCGAATCATATCTCATTTTCAAACACCGCACTGCATAACATTCACCAAAACAAACCATATCAAACAAGGACGACGCGTAATAAAGAAGCTTTATAATGTCATGAAATATTTATGAAAACTCACCGCCTTTTTCTTAACATGATCTAATTTTTCCACCCTTATATGATCCATTTCCTTGGCAACTTCTCTCATCGTCGTCTTCAACTCGCGGGAATATCGATCAACCAGCGTCATGGGAACACCCCATTTACCATTCTGGTACAACAAAAACAACAAGAAAATATTAAAATGGCGGATGTTTGTGATTGGCAAAACTTGACATTGTTTTAACTATTGAATACTATTTATACATGTATAATAATAGAGACCTACTGTAATGTCACCATTTCTATGATACTTCATGAAATCATAATGTGATGTCATTTATGCAATACTTCATGAAAAACTTATTCTACTAATCACAACCCTTTAGTCTTTGGTCCTAAACATTATACATTTGCGCCACTCTCACATCCAACCTTGCAGGATTTCTACGTATTACATCCGGGGAGGAATGCAAAGAACCTCCCGTTTTCCACATATCTAGTTAACTATTTAACATAAACAGGTTATAAATTAAATCATTGCTCGAAAATAATTTAGCCGTTAATCATTCTTTCCATAAGCATTTTAAGGAAAATCATTAAGCGTATGTGCAGTACTAACGACTTTCACAACCAAAATCCTACCTGATTTGTATAAGGATCTTGTAATAAATCAACTCCTTCTTCTTCAAGTTTCTTCTCGATCATTTCCAAAGTTTAGTTCCACTTGGTTTATGGCGGAAACCCTAGTCGCAGGCGATGGTTTTGGTGGCACCTTCCTTGCCTGCCGTGACGTCAAAACCTGTGACGTCACCTCGCCTTTAGTCCTCGTATCTTGTGTGGCATCTTCAATTAAATTGCCGTTGGCAACAGACAAAAGGGGGGCGTTTCTAGGTAAACTTTTAGATGTCATCGGCTTAGGAGGAAGTTTCGATGGTTTACTTGGGAGAGCCGGCTTGGGTGGTAAAACAGGTTTTCCTCCTTCATGTTGTTTGGTAATAATATCCGGTTTCGATTTCCTATCGATTTGCGGTGATTTCCCGGCACTACCCGAAATGTCCGGGGTCCGCAAACCCGATGGGATGTTTTTACCGATGTTAGCTCGTGGTGGCTTTTTCGATGGCGGAATGGGAGGCTGATTATTGACGTTTTCTTGTGAGTGAGAAAGACTACCCGAAGATACGTTGTTTAAATCCGAGTTGGATATGGTACTGCGACGATTTTGTTCCTCATTCATCTTATTTTTTTTTTCTCGGAAGCCGCTCGTCGAACATCGTTCTTTGGAAATTTTGAAGACGCCGGTGAAAGACCATGATGAGAAACTGTGAAAGACGAGAGAATATAGGAAAATGTAAATCATAAAAAAAAACATATGTAACTCAGTAATTCAATATAAAAAACACAGTAATTCAATGAAAGTTTCTTCCTCAATAAAAATTCCGGGAGGTGTGAAGCGCACATATACCTTGAACGTTTGTATCAAATTCGACACTACCACTGGAACAAAGCTAAAACGGAACAAAATATAGTCACGATTACACATTCACGAAGACATTCTTAGGATAAAATTCATGCTAAGAAGTCGCCTTCATTTATTATAAAAAGAGTGTCCAAACGAGTAGCGAAGGTCTGAACGGAAGATATTGGAAAACATGAAAACTAAACCTACAGTTTCACTACTGTCAGTGTCCACTCTGTGTTTGCGAGATAGTCCTGGGGTTGAATTTGGTGATGAGTCCGAGGCAGTCGAAGATGGGATATTGCTTGTGCTTTGAGAAATGTCCACGTTAGAATCTGAAAAATTGTGATAAAAATTATGATAAATTGGTTTCATTTGACAAGACAAAGTAGCAAGATGTCGCAAAACACGTGATACTCCATGTGCAGGACAAGCTTGTTGACTGTTAATGGCGCGCTACAACATATTTACTTCCGGTCAATTTTCATGTTAAGCCTAGTTCACATATAGTTGTAATTATTGTAATACAGTCGGCGATGATGGTTTAAAACAATTACAAATATATGTGAACGCCCGTTGTAATTGTTGTAATTTAATCGCAGACAAATCGGGAGCTGTTGAAGAAGTCGAATCCTGTTCAATCTCTACAACAATTACAACAGTCGCCGACTTAAGAAATTTATACTTGAACGCTAATCGGCAATAGCAATTTCATTTCTTCTTTTCATTTCTTTTACGATAAATCATCAAAATCCCTTGACCAAACCTTGCCAATGAGAAAGCTTGTCAAAAACCTAACCCGGGCGTTTTTTATGAAATATAAGCGATGAAAAGCCGCATGTAAATTTGACCCTAGTTTGAAAAATCGCCTGAATTACAACTATATGTGAACTAGGCTTTAGACATGCTTGACAACTGCAATTGGCAACAAACATATTTACTTCCGGTTAATGTCTATGTTGGGTAAGCTTGATGACAGTCATTGGTGTAAAACAACGTATTTACTTCCGGTCAATGTCAACGCATGACAGACAAGCTTGATGATTAAAGTAAATGGTTTGAACGCGGGAGTATCGTTACATGTTTGTAAATGTAGATCGTCCAGGTTGGTATAGTCTTGAAAAGGACTGTTTTTGTTGTTGACTGACGTTTCGACAACCTTAGCGGTAGTCATCTTCAAGCTTGATGATTGTCATTGGTGTAAAACAACACATTAGTAGGTTATAGTTTGTGTTATCAAAGACGAACCTGTGTAGAAAGTTGATGTGTTACAAAGTTGAACAGTTGACAAACCTGTGTAGAAAGTTGATGTGTTGCAAAGTTGAACAGTTGACAAACCTGTGTAGAAAGTTGAGGTGTTGCAAAGTTGAACAGTTGACAAACCTGTGTAGAAAGTTGATGTGTTGCAAAGTTGAACAGTTGACAAACCTGTGTAGAAAGTTGATGTGTTGCAAAGTTGAACAGTTGACAAACCTGTGTAGAAAGTTGATGTGTTGCAAAGTTGAGCAGTTGACAAACCTGTGTAGAAAGTTGAGGTGTTGCAAAGTTGAACAGTTGACAAACCTGTGTAGAAAGTTGAGGTGTTGCAAAGTTGAACAGTTGACAAACCTGTGTAGAAAGTTGATGTGTTGCAAAGTTGAACAGTTGACAAACCTGTGTAGAAAGTTGAGGTGTTGCAAAGTTGAACAGTTGACAAACCTGTGTAGAAAGTTGATGTGTTGCAAAGTTGAACAGTTGACAAACTTGAGTAGAAAGTTGATGTGTTGCAAAGTTGAACAGTTGACAAACCTGAGTAGAAAGTTGATGTGTTGCAAAGTTGAACAGTTGACAAACCTGTGTAGAAAGTTGAGGTGTTGCAAAGTTGAACAGTTGACAAACCTGTGTAGAAAGTTGATGTGTTGCAAAGTTGAACAGTTGTCGAATTGTATACTTTCCCAGGGGGGAGCTTGTTAAATAGCGTAGTCTATTAGATAGGGCAGGCTTCTTGGAAAAGGGGCTTGTTAGAAATAGAGTCATATGAGATACCACGCTAAATAAAGAGTATAAATCCATTCTTACATAGCTACTCGTACCTTCTCAATTGATCCCATGCTTCCTCCGATGTTATTTCCTTATTTTTTATTTTCCTCATCAATTCATTCCTGTCCTTTTCAAACAATTGTATATCGGAAGCCATTATCTCTGAATTATGTCCGCTGGATCGACGCTTAAAGCTGCTTCGACTGAAAATACCACCACCTTTCTTCTTCTTTGAATCTTTCCTCTCAGCCCCCTGTAAATGGTAACCACGTTCTAAGTTTGCTATAGTGAGGAAGTACCCCCCTGATTCGATTAAAACTATATACCTATTACGGGGTGTGAAAGTGTGAGATGCACCACTTATCTCGCGAGCACAATAACTAAGGTGTTAGAAAATACAGCGATTGCTTTACAACCGAAAGCTTAGCTAGCATTGATAATTGGTTGTGGTGAGAGGAAAGATATTCATGTATACATGTTTTTTAATCCGCAGAAAACAATTGATTTCGATGAAATGAACAAGACAGAACATGAATATTTGAATTTTGCACCCCCACCCCCACGCAACAACGAACACCAGGCCGGCTACGTCACTGTGTACAACAAGAGTTAAAATGTTTCTCAGCAGGGTTTATCGAAATTGCACTAAATACCCTACAATTGTTGATGTGAATAGATCGTATACCAAAGTCAAGGAAGAAAACAAATTTATGTTATGTCCTTGATTTTGGTTGATCTTTTAAACGAAAGCGAATATTTCGCATTGCACATTAAGTTGACAAGAGGTTTCAAAAACGCGCGGCCATCCCGAGAGTTTTGTCTTGATATGAAATATTTAGAACATTAACATTGTTTTTTTTACAGTGAATGAACATTGAAATATTTGCACAGCAGCTCTAAATAAACGGTCTTGCTACGTAACATATGCATGTGACATAAAGTAAAACTTGTAAGAAAAGCGAGTGGACTTCATCCAGGATCCTTTACTGCTAACAAACGACGTTTGATGCTTCGTTACAAATCTTTTTCATAACTAATTAAAGGCAGCAATCATACATGTTCTCCAAAAGTCATTGCTGTTAAATTGGCAACGAGGAAGGACTCTTCTAGATCTCTTTCTTTGCATGCATACAATGAGCCATAGAGATATGCCCGGCTAACTTTTACTTTCTTTCAGTGTACATCGTGTGACTTTATTGTTGGTCATTTTTGCTTTAAACAAAAATTTTATTCGGAATACTACAATATTTATCTATGTTAATGTTCTTCTTCATTAACCATGACCTTCCAAATTACTTAACAAAAAAAGATACTATTCCGTGCAGATAATCCCAAAACTTCTTATTCTCTGTAAGGCGTTTTTGAAATCTTAAATAGGATTTAAAAAGACTGTGCTGCATTATGCAAACCGAGGATATCTTTGGATGAACTCGAAAGCAGATCAGTACAAGCCCTAGGATGAAAGTCGAGAGTTCGCACCTGCGCAAGAGTTCTCGTAAACGTCTCCAGGATTTGTATAATTAAATCATGAAAAAGACCATCTTTTATGTCCTCTACAAATAAATAATAATGCGAAACGATTAGATATAAAATAAATATTCGAATATTTCTTCTGGCACGTATTGATTTGCAAATTCTCTTTGATTGGTTTTTTGATTGAGCACAGATCAGTTTGCACAGGCTAATGCAATTTCAGCTATTGACCAAGCAGTGCATGCGTTGTAATAAATCATTTTATAGTTTTGCGCTTTATCTTTCAAATTCAGACGAACCGTGTTACGCGATCAACCGTTAAGCAGTCGAGGGACAAATATGAATCAATCTTTCTCCAAATAATATCCATGTTAAAGCCACTGAGCTACATACTATTTTAGTGACCTTTATTAGACTGTCATCTCTAGTAATAGATCGTGCTCACCTTTCCCAAGTCCCATAATTATTCATAGTTTTGAAACTTTATAAAATGGTCGAGTGATATCATTGTGTGTATATACATTTGTAGTCTCTGATTTTTTTAATTAACCTTAGATAAAATTCAAAGTTTCATTTGGTTTTTTATTGGCTTTTTTTCTACATGCACGGATTAAATTAAATTGTTGTTAAATTCATAAATTTTACTACTTGCCTTTTATCACATCTGTGATTTTCTACAACAGTTGTACGAAGCAATCAAGAGATATCAATATCATCGATTGAGGATGACTGCTTAGCACCGGATTGACTAAATATATCATGATTTACATGATAATGTGGTTCGCCTGGAAACCAGAAAGAAACACTCTTGCAAAAATTTGAACGGAAAGTAAAATCGATGAAAATTCTACATGTTATGCTAACGTGTCGTCAGAAAGCAGGATTCAGCTTTTAAAATATTTCATTTCAGCAGCAACAATTTCAAAGAGGTCGCGGCTTTCTTTATACCAGCCTTTGAAATACGCCGACGTTAAAAATAACCAAGAATTAATGTTTTAATTGTGTTTGACATTTTTTGTGGGATGTATTGTTGGTTTATATATCCATTATTTCGCCTTTATCTGGCATTGTAGATTCTTGCTAATTGTTGCTTTGCGATAAATGTCTCCCTATTGATAAATGCTATATTTTGAAAAAGGCTTTTACAACTTACAAGACTTGCAATGTTCATAATTTAGAATTTACGTGTCGGCTTCACAGGATTCGAATATTCCACGTAACAGCAGCACTTAATATAATTGCACCACAGCTGGAGAGTCTAAGCCTTGGCTCTAATTATACAATTAAAGCAATTTTATGGTTGAATTTGCAATTTTTGATTGCTGAATTTGAAATATTTTGCATTTTTTTTGTACTCCTTTTGACTCCTAACGCTCAAAATTTTTGCACGTTTCAGCTCTAATTGAATTTTATGAAGGAAAATATAATTGAAATGTGTATCAATTATCGACTCCTTACCATAAGACGAACCTTTGTATCTTCAATTAGTAACAAATACCTATGTGATATATTTCTATCTTATCCTAAGTATAAATATAATTGCCCAACATAAAACTTTTACATTTTTGTAAATGTAGATCGTCCAGGTTGGTATAGTCCTGAAAAGGACTATTTTTGTTGTTGTTGACTGACGTTTCGACAACCTTAGCGGTAGTCATCTTCAGAGTCATAGAGTTTGACTAACGTTAGGTTAGCCGTATTTGTTATCTGCTTCTAACGTTATTGTATTGTGTGTGCAGGAAATGTATATTATCATTGTGAATTAGTGTGAAGTGAAATGTTTTTAGTTGTGAAGTGTGATTTAGGTGTGATATTTTTAGCTGTAATGTGTGGGTGTCAATTGTGTATTATCATTGTGAATTAGTGTGAAGTGTAATAACATATGCCGCATAAAAGGGTTTATGTTGGGTAATTTATTTATAGTTAGAATTCGCTTTTTGCCTGGCAAATCCATGGTCAGTTTTGTCACAATAATATTTTTATCTTACAAGTATGATTGCGACATTGCACCCATTTCAGCTTTATCATCATTCATGACTCGAGAGATATAGATTCATAATTGCTCAGTGGGACGTTTGAGATATTTACCCGACGACGTCAGAGTATGAACACTTAGAGTTTTAATCATTACTTAAAATATTTAGTTAAAATATTTGCTTTAGTTATGAATGAAAAATCAAGAAATTGCAACTCCTTGAAATTATAGATGCGGATTTGGAATCAATTGTTGAGCGTATTCTTTCCGTTTTGCGCGATAATCGCTATGGGAACATATCGTAATTTGTTATAATTAGATTGTTTAAAACGATCTATCAAGTAAAACAGTCTTTCAATTTATTACAAAAACAGCTAGAAATCTGCATAATACGGACAGTTATAAAGCACAAGACTCGAGATGCTGGCATCAGTAAGTGTAAATGTTTCTTACAAGAAGGTTAAGAAGAAGAAAATAAAATGAAGTTGGTTATTTTGTGTGCACTTTTGGCCGTAATGGTTGTCTTGCCACAATCAGGTATATATTTTGCAGTCATGCTACATTTTGTTATTACTTAGTGTTTTAAAAGAAAGTAAACTAACAATCCTTCTCATTTGTATATCATATTGATTTTGTCAAGCCTACAGTGATGATGAAAGTGAAGCGATTGGTATCACCGACCCTGCGTTTCATAAGGATCAGAAGAATAGGAAAAACAATGCAAGAAAACGTTACCGTGTGCGTTTAGATTCTCTAGCTCGTTCTTATCCTCGTTTTCGTGCTAAGTTCAATCCTCGTATGGAAACGTAGGTATCGTGGAGGCGCTGGGGTTAGCTGGATGCTAATTCCTTATTCAAGAAGTGACAGTAACAATGTAGCTATGTATGTCGTCGTTGACAATTCTTTTTACTGTAATAGCGTAAGTCTGTAGAAAATAAAACAAAATTCTGTTTTCGTCACTGAAATTTTTTTCCACTGATACAAATTTAGTCAATTCATGTGTTAAGCAACATTGTTACCAGAGTCTTGTTGACAGGGGGGCTTATAGTTTCCTAGGATTGTTTTTCCCAAGGTTGTATTTCCTGGGGTTGTTTTTCTCAGGGTTGTTTCTCCTAGGGTAAACACGGTAACATCTTCAACTTACGTTGGTATTCACGAGAATCGTACGGAATAGAAATTTACAGTAAAGTTAAAAGTACGTATTAACTATTTGCGAATTACCACCTACATATGAAAATACTATCATCGAAGATGGCATGGTGTATTTATAAATTTAAGGTTAAGTCTTTTTCAGATATGTAATATTCTTTTCATGATATATATATAAGATCCTTCAACTTTAATTGTGAGTTGCAAATTTTGCTTGAAAGGGACTTTGCCAGCTTTATTTGTTTGAAATTATTTGAACGTGATTGTGGTAGCCAATGACTACTTGCAATGTTCATTATTCAGTTGTCACTATTAAAAGAGAAGAAGTTAGTAAGTGACAGAGAGGCCGCATTCTTTAATAATTTTCAAATCATTCTAGGCTTGCTTTTTGGCCTTTCTTCCTTTTCTAAAGTGTCTTCAAACCAACAACTTGATCAGTGTCATTGTTCATAGTCATGATAATTCGAGCACATCAATTTTGTGCAGATCGTGTTTCACAGAACTTACCCTTCAATTAACAAAAGTAATCAAAGTAAGGGCGTACACTATAGCATTCGGATGAAAGTCTACTATTAAGACTTGTTAGCATTGCTGCCTGATAACTGGGAAAGGATATTCATTCATCCGGAGTAAAATTGAAAAAATTTGATTTAAAAAAGAATTTTTAATACAACATGTTTTGCCTATATGAACATCGTGCTAGCGGCGATATAAATAAATATATACAGAACTCAAGTGTACCTATTCGTGCAAACCAAAATATCCTGGCAAATTGAATTACTTGCACGCATTTGTGACAGCGCTAATCAAGTCTGCAAAACAGATCAGGTTTGAAGATTTAAAGATGTTGACAAAAGATTTGTTGAAAGTGAGTGAGAATAGATGACTGTTCTTCAGAAGAAAAATGCTAGACCCAGTGTTTATAAATACATAAATCTGACGCGGATACATATAATCTAATCACATGTGATAATGTAAAGCGAATAACTTCACGGCATATTTGCATACGTAAACTAAAATACCAATATTTATTTATTCTCATATGTAAAATATTCAACACAGATAAATTCTAATTTATTTCTCAATAAATAATATATGTAAAAACGTTATTGCATCATTGTAGGATTTATCATATCGAAGTTATTATAGAAAAGTGACAAGTATATATTTGTTCAAAAGAATTCAAGACTTGTGTGTAAATTAATTCATTCGACAAAATGCCGTCAAATATGATTCACAAATTCCACAATCATGAATAGATTAACAATATTGGCATGCAAACCAAAACAAACAGGTTTGAAAGAAGTTAGTTTCTTCTACACAAAAATAGTTTAAAACGTACGATGACGTTTTAGCGCGCTAAACCATTGAAAAGCATGGTGTTGGAGATGCTTGGTGGCTGACAACCATTGAACTATAATATAAACTGGAACACTAACTCCAACAGTAGTGCTATAAATCATCTGATGCACACTAAGACGCATTCATATCAGAATATTTTCGTTATTTACCCGAGCTCGTGAGGTAAAACGTATCATGGCAGTTTGTGCAACTGTATTTTATGAAGATCTTTGTTTATTCTTTAAAATTATTTCATGGAAATTGTATCTAAAAACTCAAGAAAACTTAAATTTCGGCTTCAAGGATTGCAACAACAAAGAGAGCATTCCAGATTCAAAAAACAGTTTAATGGTGTCAACCTCGTACCCATTGTCCTTTCTCCTGGACACGAGGTTCGTTTCCTACATCAGCCGTTAAATCGATATCTATTATAATTTTGAACATCCCTTGGGCAGCAATGTCGAGTTTTCGTAAAGCCGAATCATAATATATAAATACATTATCATTTCTAATAATTATCGACAAGTCGTGAGCGAGATTTGAGTCATTTGACCTAGTTAATGTACACTACACGACAAGGGTCTGGGCCTCATCAATCTCTGTCATAAGAGGAGAAGTCTGGGGCCTCTTTTATCTCCATTGTAAGATGAGATGTCTGGGGCCTCGTCAATCTCCATTGTAAGAGTGAGTGTCTGGGGCCATGTTTTCAAGGGATCGAATAAGTCTAGCGATATGATCAGTATTTGTGATATTTGCATGACGAAGATGGTCGTGTGAAAGATAGGGTACAATACTCATATCGTCGTATCCTTCTTCCAGAAAATTTTCTATGTACATTGGCAGTCCAAGTGACGTCAACCAGTCCACCACTGAACTAAGTTTTCCCACAACATCTGGAGCGAAGCGAAGACTGGAAATATCACATGGAACCTTACAGAAAAAATAAAAAAACCGTTTCATTTGGCATGTCTACTTCTTGTGCGACGATTATTCTAC